GAGGCCAGCAGTGGCGCGGGTGTATACAGTAGAGGTTAGCAGTGGCGTGGGTGTATACAGTGGAGGTTAGCAGTGGCGCGGGTGTATACAGTGGAGGTTAGCAGTGGCGTGGGTGTATACAGTGGAGGTTAGCAGTGGTGCGGGTGTATACAGTGGAGGCCAGCAGCGGCGTGGGTGTATACAGTGGAGGTTAGCAGTGGTGCAGCTACATCAGCACGGGTGGGTCCCTGGGACGGGCAGTGTGCCATGTTGGTTGACAGCTACATAAAGCCGCTTCAGGAGAATGTGTGTCAAGGTTGGCTGCAGGTGGCAAGCCGGGCTGGGGTTGTTGTGGAAATGCGAGGTTTCCGTGAGGCTGAGTTCTGGTCTCCTCCGGTCTGCATGTGTGGGCTCCATGCCCCCATCCAACTGGTGCCCATTGTGTAGGGGTTACAGTGGGCAGCCACACGGGGCACCTGACCCGAAGTCGCAGACCCTGCTGAACCCCTAGCACAAATGGCGCAGCTCCTGCGCTGTGTGCATGCTCAGAGCTCTGACATCACAGCTGCCTCAACTTCCCAGGGAGTCAGGGCACAAGATTCCCCTAAGCCAACGCGGGGCTCAGCTCCAAGAAGGAAGAATTCAACCTGGATGTGGCCACACACATTGCCTGGGAACCTCCCAGAGCACAGGCAAGGGATCTAGAAGGCCACTGAGGTCCTCTGACAGAACCACAGATGACAGGTGCCAGAAGCAGTTCCTATCCGCAGCACCTCTGTAGGTACGGAATCTTGGGGTCCACTGCCCTCCCCAATGCAGTGCCACATCTGCAATGGACCCCAGTGGGGACACGGCTCCTTCACTCGATGGCAGAGACCTCAGCCGTGAGTGTTGGGGACCAACGACACCGCGAGATGGCAGCACAGACTCGCACACCACACCACAACCCGGGGTTTGCCGGCGCGGCATGTCCCGGATCTCCCACGCGCGGATCCGCAGGGATCCACGAGGGTCGTCCAGGTGTGGCATGCTCTGGGTAGTCAACCCCACCTTCCCGGTTGTTGTCGCTGATTCCCTTCCAGGGAGTTCTTGGACCACAGGGCAGACAACAGCAGACGCAGACGGACATGGGGAGACAATGGGCGGTTCCCTGTGCCTTGTGGGGATCTGAGGGAGCCCGCAGGGTTTTAGCGAGCACAGGAGCACTAAGGATCTCCGGGGTTCTTGCTTTTGGCACAGAGCATGGAAACAAGCAAACCTGTGCCACAACCAAGATGACAGCGCCATGCGGTTCCACTGTTGTGGACAGTAGCGAGAGGTGCCTGGTCATTGTGCAGGTGATTCATGGCCTGTCAGAGAAGGGGACACTCGTGATTCCAGGACACGCCCCCCAGAAACACCCATCCTCGGTATGGTCCCCATTCACCTCACCAGGTCAGTGTGCGTGACCTGCATGGTGGTGGCCACGGGGCAGCAGCACACACACCCGGGACACCACGGCTGTGGCTGACCCCCAGGATAGGGATTTGCCAGGAATGGCACTGTTTTAACCTGTGGCAAAGGTGGTTCCCCGGGGCCACCTTGGGGGACAAGGTGAACCCACATCGGGTCTCTCTGGGTTAGACCTGAACCTTACATCACAGCCACAGGTCCACAGGGTGCACACACATCCACCCTTGACACCTCTATGTGGCACTCAGGTCACTCACAAACCCCATGCTGCCAAACCACAGCGCGGAATGGGACCTGAACCTTCCAGGAACCAATACGCATCCCGCCTGAAATGCCTGGGGTGCAGCCTGGGGTGTTAGCTACCCCACTGGGTAAAGGGCTTGAGATGCTAATGTGAATTTTGAGATGCTAATAGAGCTGGGAGGTTCGGCTGGGGTGGCCAAGCCTCCTGGCATCTGAGCTTGGTAATTCCCGCAGCACCTCTGTAGGTACGGGGTCTTGGGGTCCACTGCCCTCCCCAATGCAGTGCCACATCTGCAATGGACCCCAGTGGGGACACGGCTCCTTCACTCGATGGCAGAGACCTCAGCCGTGAGTGTTGGGGACCAACGACACCGCGAGATGGCAGCACAGACTCGCACACCACACCACAACCCGGGGTTTGCCGGCGCGGCATGTCCCGGATCTCCCACGCGCGGATCCGCAGGGATCCACGAGGGTCGTCCAGGTGTGGCATGCTCTGGGTAGTCAACCCCACCTTCCCGGTTGTTGTCGCTGATTCCCTTCCAGGGAGTTCTTGGACCACAGGGCAGACAACAGCAGACGCAGACGGACATGGGGAGACAATGGGCGGTTCCCTGTGCCTTGTGGGGATCTGAGGGAGCCCGCAGGGTTTTAGCGAGCACAGGAGCACTAAGGATCTCTGGGGTTCTTGCTTTTGGCACAGAGCATGGAAACAAGCAAACCTGTGCCACAACCAAGATGACAGCGCCATGCGGTTCCACTGTTGTGGACAGTAGCGAGAGGTGCCTGGTCATTGTGCAGGTGATTCATGGCCTGTCAGAGAAGGGGACACTCGTGATTCCAGGACACGCCCCCCAGAAACACCCATCCTCGGTATGGTCCCCATTCACCTCACCAGGTCAGTGTGCGTGAACTGCATGGTGGTGGCCACGGGGCAGCAGCACACACACCCGGGACACCACGGCTGTGGCTGACCCCCAGGATAGGGATTTGCCAGGAATGGCACTGTTTTAACCTGTGGCAAAGGTGGTTCCCCGGGGCCACCTTGGGGGACAAGGTGAACCCACATCGGGTCTCTCTGGGTTAGACCTGAACCTTACATCACAGCCACAGGTCCACAGGGTGCACACACATCCACCCTTGACACCTCTATGTGGCACTCAGGTCACTCACAAACCCCATGCTGCCAAACCACAGCGCGGAATGGGACCTGAACCTTCCAGGAACCAATACGCATCCCGCCTGAAATGCCTGGGGTGCAGCCTGGGGTGTTAGCTACCCCACTGGGTAAAGGGCTTGAGATGCTAATGTGAATTTTGAGATGCTAATAGAGCTGGGAGGTTCGGCTGGGGTGGCCAAGCCTCCTGGCATCTGAGCTTGGTAATTCCCGCAGCACCTCTGTAGGTACGGGGTCTTGGGGTCCACTGCCCTCCCCAATGCAGTGCCACATCTGCAATGGACCCCAGTGGGGACACGGCTCCTTCACTCGATGGCAGAGACCTCAGCCGTGAGTGTTGGGGACCAACGACACCGCGAGATGGCAGCACAGACTCGCACACCACACCACAACCCGGGGTTTGCCGGCGCGGCATGTCCCGGATCTCCCACGCGCGGATCCGCAGGGATCCACGAGGGTCGTCCAGGTGTGGCATGCTCTGGGTAGTCAACCCCACCTTCCCGGTTGTTGTCGCTGATTCCCTTCCAGGGAGTTCTTGGACCACAGGGCAGACAACAGCAGACGCAGACGGACATGGGGAGACAATGGGCGGTTCCCTGTGCCTTGTGGGGATCTGAGGGAGCCCGCAGGGTTTTAGCGAGCACAGGAGCACTAAGGATCTCGGGGGTTCTTGCTTTTGGCACAGAGCATGGAAACAAGCAAACCTGTGCCACAACCAAGATGACAGCGCCATGCGGTTCCACTGTTGCGGACAGTAGCGAGAGGTGCCTGGTCATTGTGCAGGTTATTCATCCCGGGTCTCCCACGCGCGGATCCTCAGGGATCCACAAGTGTCGTCCACGTGTGGGATGCTCTGGGTAGCCAACCCCACCTTTCCGGTTGTTACTGATTCCTTTCCAGGGTATTCTCCGCGGGCAGGGAAGATGATTGTGGACATGGGGAGCAGTGGGGTATAGCCCCTGCCTAGGTTGATGATGATTGTGGTACCGAAGGATTCCTTCTTGTAAGGTCTCGGGACATTGAGCACGGAGGCCTCTGCACCCAGCTCATGAGTGTCCCTTGCCGCCTTGGGTCCGAACCCCAGTGCAGTTAAGAATACAGCTTGAGTGACCACACTGGCCGCGAGGCGGCAGCACAGGCTGCTGCGTGTCAGCCACAGCCCAGCATCCAAGTCTGAGGTCCACTTTGTGCAAGAGTGGGGACTTTGCATTTTCAAGAGGATGTAGTCAATAAGTCCTGGGGTTTACTGGTTACCGCTGCGGGGTCCAGCACCTAGCAAGCATCCCGCATTGTGCAATGGGAGCCTCACACCATGGCTGGCTGCCGTGTCTGTTAGCCCCGCAGTCCCCGCCGTAGTCACTGTTGCTGCCGTCAACGTGCTTGCTACAGCCCATCCCAAAGCCAGCACGGCTGCCTGCACTTCACCGCAGCCCCGATCCTATGGCCCCCTGGGCGGGTGACCGAGCAGGGAGCATGGCCACTAGCCGTGTCCAGAGACAGAGAGGTGACCGAGGGGTTGTGTAGTGACCTGGGCAACCCGATCAGCCATGGGGAGTCTGTGGAATCTAGGAGGGCCAGAGTAAGACTGCCAACCTGATGCCTTGTGGGTGCGAGTTGGGGTCCCCGCACCCCTACAGCCTAGGACTAGCACTCACTTTTCCTCTCCGCAGCTCCACACAGGACCCTGTGGACCCCATTTACCCTGGAGCGACCGCGCTTTCTCAATCACCAAGCCAAGCCCCCCCAGAGCCCTTGGGGAGCCTCGGTCTGCGTCCTTAATGGGAGGGGGGAGCCAGGTGCGCCCGGCCCCGGCTCGCCTCACGAGGGGTAGTTCTCAACCCACCAGGGGGATGTCGGGGACAATGCCAAGTCCTGTGTGAGGAACGCCAAGGGAGGGGTGTGGGGTGAGAGAGACGTGCGCTGGAACAGTCCAGGGTGGAGGTGGGTCCTGTGGGCCCCCCTCCACATGATCCCACTCTGATTGGTTGGTTGGGCAGGGGCGGGAATTCTAGGCGGGGCCACTCCAGTTAGAAAAAGCCCGGGCTACAAGCAGCGGAACAGGGTGTGGGAGGGGGGTGGGACGGGTGGGGGGGTTAACGGGGGGTGGGGGTGGGGAACTGGGGAAGATGGGGAGCAGGAGGAAGGTCGTGGGCGCCAAGGAGCACCTTGGCCGTCTGGGGTCTGGCGGGTAGAAAGCCAGCCCGGGTCGGGGTGGCCGAAGAGGACAGTGATGGGCCCGGGCGCGGCAAGAAGGGGGGGTGCCAGACATTCATCCCGGTCACTTTTGGTTACAGGACGTGGCAGCTGGTCGGACGAGGGGGAGCTGTTCGGAGGGGTCTGAGCCGGAGACCTGGGCAACCAAGGGGTAGCTGGCAGCCCGTGCAGGTGTGGACGGCGCTCTGCCAGCCAGGTGAGTCCCTTCCCTCCTCGGGCCTCGTCTCCCCAGGCCACCGGAAGGCAGCCTGGGGTGCCGAGGGCCGGCGAGGAGAAGTGGCAGCCTTCTGGCAGAGCAGAATGAAGGCAAGGCAGGGAGCAAAGGTGACATCTCTCGGGGGGAGCCGAGACGGAGCAAGGCTGGGTCCATCCCAGGGGAAAGAGACACTGAGAAAGGTTAGGGCGGAGCAGGTGGAGGGCTGCCAGCAAGGACAGAGAGGACACTGGGCTCCAGCAGGTGTGGGGACAGCGCAGGGCCGGCTCAGACAGGGCACAGACAGAAGGGTTCCCAGTTGCCACCACATCCCACCCACCGTAATTCACTTAGAAGCAGGCACAGGAGTGGCTCCGGTCAAGGGCTGACCATGCCCTTGGCCGGAGCATTGAAAGCCGGAGAGCGGGAAAAGAAAGGCAGTGTCCAGTATTTAGCGGGGCGTCTTCAGGGGCGGCAGCGGCCAGGGACTCCCCAGAGATAGCGCAGCAAGGAGGCTGCAACGGGAGCCCTTGGGCACTCTGCTGCCACGTGGCACTGCACCCCAGGGGCTGGCCCTCAGCCCCCGGGATTGGCATGGCAGACAGCAAGCACCCAGGGGAGTCAAGGACACGGGCGAGAACAGACAGGGCGAGGCGGGTGAGGTGGTGTGAGTGAGCTTTTCAGGAGGGAGGTGGGCACAGGCCGGGGCAAGAGCAAGCCTACTGGGGCGCTGGCTTCCTGAGCCCGTGGCCAAGGTGGGCCTGACGGGCTGCGACGGAGCGAGATCGGCGCCCTCCCGCGCTTGCAGTGGGGACCAGGGTAAGTGTCTCTCCCGCCCCGTCCCCGCCCGTTTCTGCCTACCCGGCACCTCCAGCCACCCGCCCGTCTGTTCTCCCCACAGCCGGGTCTCCAGCGGGGCAGACGTGCCAGCAGTCACCATCGAAGGTCTGGACGCCAGCATGAACGAGCTGAGGGACATGATATGGTCCGGTGTGACGGTGAGGACAAGAAAGGCTGGCCGTCCAGACTTGCAGGTGAGCCATGACGGCTGGCCCGCTTCCAGGTGCCCAGGGCCCCGCCCTGCCACCCGGCTAATCCCTGCCCCGTGCGTCCCTCAGAACATCCTTGTAGGCACCGGGGCGGCTGTCCCCAGACGTGGATCTCTGTCCCTTCGCGGCTGCCAAGGAGCTGACATGCATGTAACCACACTCATCACTACTATTACTGCTCTCTGGACCCTTGGAATTCCCAGAAGTAAAGGTGAGGGGCCCTCCTGCTGCCCCTGGGGGCGCGGGGCACACAGAACGCTCTGTGAATGCCACTCTCACCCCCCAACCGCAGACGTCGCTGCCCAGCTCACGTCTGGGCCCTTGAACCCGGGGACTTGTTCAAGTCCGTCTTGTTGTGACTCAAGAATTCTTAGCCTCTGGAACTCTGACACTGCCTAACTCAAAGTCAGCTCCCAAGGTGGGCACCGCCCTCCCCGCCCCCAAGGGCCCTCCCCGAAGCCCCCCGCTACCATTCTCAGTCTTGGAACTCTTCCCACAGGTGACGCTGAAGGAAGGAGACCACACCCACAGCAGCCGTCCAGTCACACCCCCGCCCCTGGCGACTCCATCTTCACGGCCATTCCCACGCTCCCCCCGCGGCAGCCGGGAGACCCCCGGAGCTGGGCCCGCGGGGGGGGCACCCCACCACCTCCCCTTTTCCGTCTTCAATTTCTTCCTTTCTCTGAGTGACTGCTCTTCCATAGCCTGAGAGACGCCAGGCGGCCCGACTCCACCCCCATTCCCCCACATTTTGCACTAAGTCGTAGGCACTGGTTTGGAGCGGCTGCAGCCCTGGGTCCCTCAGGCACGTGTGCAAGCCCCTTGGCCAGCTCCACACAGCCCTGGCGCCTGCCTATCCGCCCAACTCTGCCAGGGTCCCAGGAGCTGGCTGTCGTATGCTTGAGGCCTCATCTCCACCCTCACCTTGTCTGTAAACTCCCGCCCAGCAGAGTGGCCTTGCAAACATCACCAGGCCCATCTCGCCCTGTGCCCCTCCCCACCGGGGCCCCACCAGGAGCCCTGGACTCATCAATAAACATGGTTTCAGTATTTGGTCTCAGGGACCCCTGAGTCCCGTGTCTTTTTTGGTTGGGTGGGGTGTGGTGGGATGGGAGGGGCAGGAGGGATACGGGCTGGGGGAGGACAGGCCCCACGGGGAGGACTCCGGGATGAGTTGAATTGAGGCTCGGTTGGTCCCAGCTGCCCAGGCCTAACCTAGGGACTAGAGTCATGTCATGGGGGCAGAAACGGGGATACGCTCACCAAGCCACACGAAGAGTATCACATGACCTCTGGGCTCCCCTCCCTGCAAGCCAGCTACAGCCCTGGGGATATGTCCATGCGGTCTGCCCCACCCCCCACTCAGTGCTGGGACACCCACGTGGACCCTCTATGCACGGGCCCTACTCCCCCACTCTGCAGTGACCCCCAACTCTGGGCTGAGCCCACCAGACCCTCCCTCCCCTCTGTGCAGGGCCCCCAGCTCTGGGCTGAGCCCACCAGACCCTCCCTCCCCTCTGTGCAGGGCCCTCAGCTCTGGGCTGAGCCCACCAGACCTTCACTTCCCTCTGCACAGCAAACCCCCTACTTTGTACAAGGACCCCCAGTTGTGGGCTGAGCCCACGGTGGACCCTCACTCCCCTCTGTGCAGAGACCCCCAGCTCTGGGCTTAGGCCATGTGGACCCTCACTCCCCTCTGCAGAGACCCCCAGCTCTGGGCTTAGGCCATGTGGACCTCACTCCCCTCTGCAGAGACCCCCAGCTCTGGGCTTAGGCCATGTGGACCTCACTCCCCTCTGCAGAGACCCGCAGCTCTGGGCTTAGGCCATGTGGACCTCACTCCCCTCTGCAGAGACCCCCAGCTCTGGGCTTAGGCCATGTGCACCCTCACTCCCCTCTGCAGAGACCCCCAGCTCTGGGCTTAGGCCATGTGGACCTCACTCCCCTCTGCAGAGACCCCCAGCTCTGGGCTTAGGCCATGTGGACCTCACTCCCCTCTGCAGAGACCCCCAGCTCTGGGCTTAGGCCATGTGCACCCTCACTCCCCTCTGCAGAGACCCCTGACTGGGATGCGTCTGTGTGGCTCCCTTTTCTCTGATCTGTGCTATAAGAGTTGGAGGTCAAATAAATGGAGACGTGTGCAGTGGGGTGTGCAAACAGACAGATGGAGAGGAAGTGAGGACCAGGAAGGGGTGATGGGGCAGAGGTGAGCGAGACGAGCCGTGGAAGCAAGGGGGCGGGGGTCCTCACTGGAGTCTTGGTTGTGGGGTACAGTGTAGAGCCACATGGACTTAGAGCATCTCCATAGGAAGAAGGAGCCAGGACTCAGAGACTGGTGGGGTCTGCCTCTTAGTCCCTTGGAGACACTGTGTGACACCCCCAACTGGGGTCCTCAGCTGTGGGGGACTCCCCCCGCCCCGCTGGCAAGCAGGGCCCTCCTGAGGACCCTCACACGCCCCCTTCCCACCGAGGCACTGCAGCCCTTGCAGGCCTGTGCTGGGAGCAAAGCAGAGACCCAGGGCAGGGCGGGGGAGGGGAGGCCTGGCCACCACCCCCTCCTCACCCCAGGACGGCTCCCATATATTAGGTGTCAAGAGCTGGGACTGTAAAGGGACTTTATTATAAACATCCGAGGCTGGTGCAGAGAAGATAAAAGCCAAGAGGCCTGGGGGCGGAGGGCGTGGGAAGCTGGGGGTGGGAGCAGGTTGGGGAGGGCCCGGAAGGGCGGGCAGGTCTGCACGTGGCCCTGGCCTCCCCGTCACCTGGGCCGCCCGGGGCCTGCCGGGACTCCACCATTGCACGCTGTCACTCTGGGGCCTTCCGCCTTGGGGGAGCCAAGCACACACCGTTGGGGAGTGATGCCCGAGGCCCCCACGGCTCCCCAGTCCCACCCTGGGTGGGACCACACCCTGGGAAGCTGTCTCCCAAAGCTGTGCTCAGGGGAGCCCTCGGTGCGACTGGGGGTACACAGAGCTGAGCTGGGGACTCTGGGAAGGAACCTACAGCTAGAAGTATGCACCAGTGGTCACCTTTGCACGGCCAGGGACCACCTCCCCCCCAGTCTGGCTGAGAGGCAGGGCCTGGGTGGCCATGGCAGGTCAGACCAGCCCCCCACACCCACCCCCACAGCCCGCCTGGCCAAGCCCCTCCAAGCCCGGAGCCCCTGGATGGAATGTGTTTAGCTTTGGCCCAACCCCACTTTGGCTTTTCAGAGAGGGGGCTTAGAGCCGCCGGGGGACAGGCTCGGCCCCCACCCAGAGGCAATTTCCAAAGGCCCAGCAGAGCCGGTTGTGAGAAATGAACAGGGCTTGAATTTCACTCCCAGATCCAGCTACCAGCATGGGGGAGGGGCGCCGCTGCCTCCTAGGGGCCTGAAACCTGGGAAAGTCTGAAACCCGCCCGCCCATGAGGCCCCGTGGGAACTGGCTGAGTGGCTGTGCTACCCCACCGCCTTCATGCTAGTTACTGCTATATGGGGTGCTCCCTTGCGGGAGGGCCGTGTGTGTGTGTGTGTGTGTGTGTGTGCCCCCGTGTGTCTTCATGTGCGAGCTCCTCCCCTGTGGACCGTGGGCAGCCAGCATGCCCAGCGCATGTGGCTGTGCCCGAGGCCGTGTCGGGGGCGGGGAGCCCCTGCAGAGCGGACCCCTGAGTCTGGGTGTGGGAGTCTCTGACTGCCACTGAGTGGTGGCTGGGGTGGGACATTGGTCACACCACAAAAGAAATGGAACCCTTTTAAGGAGTGCAGGTGACACTCGAGGTCTGACCACAACCTACCCTGGGAAGTCTTCAAACAAGCAGGCTTGGGGTGGCCCTCTTCCCCACCCTCCGGCCAACCAGGGGACCCCATCTTGCTGCGGGGGCAGATGCAACCTCAGCATTTGAGCCCGAAGAAAGGACGGCGGGCTTTGGAGAGAGGCTTGTGCTGGGGCAGAGAGAGAAGGTCTCCACCCCTGCTTTCCCCTGCCTTCCCCGCCCCCTCGCTTCCCTCCGCTGGTGACACTGTTGGCCCCGTGCCAGGGCTGGCCGGGGGGCCTCCTAGCAGGAAGCCCACCTGCAGGGCCTGCTGGGAAGGGGCCTGCTCTCCAGGCTCTGCCGCTTCCTGGCAGCAGGGCACTGGGGGGCGGGGGAGGGCACAGAAGGCCGACAGGGTGCTCCTGTGAGGGCCCCGCGCCGGCTCCCCACACCTGGCCGGGGCACAGGCGGGCAGCAGGCGCCAAGGGGAGGCCCCGGCTCCCCACCCTCTGCCCAGGTTCAATGCCATGCACGTGCCAGAGCCCAGCACAGTGGGGCCGCAGCCTCTGCCCAGGCCCCTGCAGGGTGCCCTGTGGACCCCCATAGATTCCCTGGATAGTTCCAGAGAGACCTGCCTCCTTGAGGAGGACAAACTGGGAGGACCCCCTGGACTTGGGACTTCCTGGAGCAGAAGATAAGGGTTAGGGGTGAAGGGTGGTTGGGAGGCCTGGCCCAGCCCAGCCCCCCATGGAGTAGACACAGGGGTGTCCTGCATGGCTGGCTCCCAGGCCGGCAGAGCAGGACTGTGGTCCTGAGAGGGCGGGGGGCGACTGTCTACCTCCCAAGGCAGCAACAGTGGCCCAGGAATGACCACACAAACCTGGTGGACGGAGAGAGGAGGCGACTGCAGGCCCGGGTTCAGAGGCTGGGGCTCCGAGTTATGGGGCCCTGGCTCTGGGGGAGCAGCCTGCCCCAGCCGCCTGCCTGCCGGGAAGACCAGTTTATTCAGGTGGCATCTGGAACATGCCACATGCGCAGCAGGCGGACGCAGAGAGCCCCCCAGCTGCTCCCCATTGGCTCATGGTAACACACCACGTCAACACCGGAGCCGTCTTCCTGGCTGGTGGGGGTTTATGGAGCGGGACCCGAGCCCGCCGGGGGCCCTCACCCCACCCCGGCCCACACACTGGCCCACTGTTCAAGGGTCTGGGGGGAGGTAGCGCCCTGGCGCCGTGCTCTCTCCACCCACACCCAAGTTCCTGGCACAGCGGCGGCTTGCCCTTCACCAGCGCCCCAGGCCCAGAGCGTGAGGGTTGAGGCTTCCCGCCCTGCCTGGGGCCGGAGTGGGCTGGGGAGGAACAGCATGGCTTCTGAGGGCCCCAGCAGTTTCGGGGACCCGGCGGGCGCTGCCTGCCATGGGCCACGATCAGTGGCGGTGCAGGCTATGGCACTTCTGGGGCCTTGTGGGAGCCCCAGGGACTCCGGCCGCCCCGAGCTGTGACTGGCAATGGGGCAGCAGAGGAGCCTCGCTCTCTCCAGACCAGACTCCTGGCCTGGTCACATCGGAGACGGGGTCTGACAGGGCATCCACTGCTGCTGTGGCGTGGGTTTCCTGGTCCGAGGGGAAGGAAGGCTGTCGGGTGGCTGGGGGGGTCCCAGCTGCAGGGAGCCTGGCGGGAGGGAAGCGGGGGTTCAGCCAGCCCTGCCTCGTGCCCCTCTAGGCCCTGGCGGTAGCACAGCACAACTAGGGGCTGGGAGAGACACCCCGGGAGGGAGCAGAAGGGGGGCCTTGGGGCAGTTTCCCAGTTTGTTCCAGCAGCAGGCCAAACCCAGCCCCAGGCTCCCTTGCCCACGCACACATGGGGTGGGCTTCGATCCCTGGCCCCCCACTCTGGGTGAACGGCCTCGTCTGGGGCACAGGGCATGTGTGCCAAGAGCGGCCCCGGGGACACTGCTGTTTGCAGTTCAGGGAAGCCTCAAGATAAAGAGGCTGTTTTCCCAGCAGGCATGGAGCCAGCAGGGGGCTGAGGGGCAAGGGGTCAAGGCTGGCCACGGGCCTGCAGCTCCCCCTCCCTGGCCATGAGGAGAGTGGCTGCACACTCCACCCCCATGACCCTGTGAGCCTCCCCAGGAGAGTACAGGTCCCAGGCACGTCCCATGGCCAAAGCCCCTGTGCACCCTGCCCAAAGACAGGGATGTGGCGGGGTGGCAGGGGAAGGGGCATGCTGGGCAGACAGGGGAGGGACTCCTGATGGGGCCATGGAGGCTCTGAGCAGGGGGCTCCATCAGGAAGGTGACACTCCACCTCCTTGAAGAGCCAGGC